CTATACAAAATGCCGGTCAAGCTCTATTGATGTCCGGCTAACAATGATACTTTTACATGACTTTCTGATTTGACTTAAACTTTGTCTTAGACTTGGGTTAGTTACTATACTATTCGTGAAAACAATACCAGATGTCTCTTTTGATTTTAAAATGATGGACAACGCGACTCTTATGGGCTGTTTTCTGCTCTTTGGTCGGGTTGTTGTCTCTTTGACACATTCCCCATTTCCATTCTCAATTTTATCTTAGGAAATATAACACTTAATTATAAAATCGAAAGCAGACTGCTATACTGCGTCATTGTTTTAATGTTACGATACCGTCATTCGGCACATCTCGGCAGATTTCAGTACCTTAGAGTTTCCGGAATCTGCCGAGACGTGTCGAATGCAGAGTACCGGATCTGCCGAAGTGTGCCGAATGAAGATGCTGCAAAATCCTCTTTACTTTACAGCATTGTGAAATAAAATTTTGGGTGGAATCTAGTGTCTCAATTTCAATATCTTTTCTTGAGATAATGAAGAAAATGATTATGTTAATTTCAATTGAAGATCAAGAAAAGTAAAAGGATCCTAGTATCATTTAACCAAACATTTGTGCACACCGTAATTCGGTCATTTCAGGTGTATCTGATGCATTTTGATGAGACTTTGTACCTAAAGTACTATTAGTATTCATTTTCCTTTCCCAGTAATGGTCATATTGTATTTTATACGTTTCATTATCAAATTGTTCAAGTACCTACGATCAAAGAATCATTCCATGATGTAAATTTCATTGAAAGTACTTAAGCTCACGAAGATTTATAAGATAATGAACAAGTGAACGTCTTCAGTCGTTTAACAAGTGGGTAGTATTTCAAAATTTACAGATGATGTAAAACTTTACAACGGAACACGTAACAACGACACCACAAATTAAGCTAACTATTCCCCCGCATCCCAACATTAGATTTTTCAGACTTTTTATCAATACACATGTACTGATATGGGGAAAGTGGACAAATTGAAAGTCAAGGTTTCACTGTTATCAATATTTTCAGATATAATCTTGATAACATAACGTGACCTTTTTATTACAACGATACAGATGCACTCAAAAGTAGTTCTTTATAGCGTGGTCAACGCTAGTCTTGACGTCCATCTTGGTCCTCGAATGATCGGAAACCAAAGGACTAACTTGGGTATAGAAATATGACCATACAGACTTCTCTTGTAAGTCAATCAGAACCGTGTTGAGGAAGCGTCTGTTTGGATATTCGGGGCATATATAAACACCGATGTCCCGTGTTATTAGAGTGTCACACTTTCTGCACTTAACAGAATCCTTGTAATAACTCTTCACACTTTCTGCTTTTAATAAAATCCTTCCAATAACACACTTTCTGCACTTAATAAAATCCTGGCAATAACTCTTCACACTTTCTGCAATTAATAAAATCCTTGCAATAACTCTTCACACTTTCTGCACTTAATAAAATCCTTGCAATAACTCTTTACACTTTCTGCACTTAATAAAATCCTTGTTATAACTATTCACACTTTCTGCTTTTAATAAAATCCTTGCAATAACACACTTTCCTCACTTAATAAAATCCTTGCAATAACACACTTTCCTCACTTAATAAAATCCTTGCAATAACAATTCACACTTTCTGCAATTAATAAAATCCTTGCAGCAACTCTTCACACTTTATGCACTTAATAAACTCTTTGCAATAACTCTTCACACTTTCTGCACTGAATAAAATCCTTGCAATAACTCTTCACACTTTCTGCACTTATAACATCCTTGCAATAACTCTATTAGGGGGCCGTGGGTTAGTTTAGGGACCGTGAGTAAGTTTATCGACAGTGAGTTAGTTTAGGGAACGTGGGTTAGTTTAGGGACCGTGGGTTAGTTTAGGTGCCGTGGGTTAGTTTTGGTGCCGTGGGTTAGCTTTTGTAAGCAAAAGACACGCTCCTGTCTAACATTTTTAAGTGGCTTTCCAAATTTTCACCCTTTAATCCGTCTGACCAGCTTTGCAATACCTACCTAATTTAATTGAGGCAAATATGAGTCTTCCGCTATTTTGGGTTGTGAAATAGCAGATTACAACCGGTCTATATCTTTAATGAAATGTGCGAGAGAGGATTGTAATTCGTGTGTAAGACTTTTCATCTATGAAGAAAATCTGATGTTATCATATTAGTTGGACGGTTTTTCCAAATTCAGAATATTTTTTGATTGATTCATTTTTGACTTCGCCATATAAAGTGAAATTACTTCGCATGACTTGAATATTTGACAATGGACAGAGAACAATCAATCAATTGAATTATAGGCCTATATTTTTATTAAAAGTAGCAATCTTTAACATAAAAATGCTTTTTCGGGGCATATAATTACATTACATTGCTGTATTATAATTATTCTAGCATTTCTGTTGGTAGACAACAATCACGTGGTGTTCCAAAGTGATGTTTTATGTCCCAATAAAGTGTATTAGCAATGGTACACGTGCTCTCCATATAACAACGTTATAAAAATGGCATGTATTGGAATAAAAACGAAAAGTTTGATTTTCTGGTTTTACCATTAATATGTAATGATAAGAATTTGATGCTTCTTTTTGTAGTTTTCCATGGTTGTATAAAAGCGATGACCGTGCTCATATTTGTAGTATGAACATGCAAAACGTGCTTCGATCAACTAAACACGTCGTTTTTTTTTCTAGTTTCTGAAATTATTCAATTGAACATTTTGCTCTCGTATTTTCTTTCAAAATATTATGTGTTTCATTTTTTCTAAACATTTGTTTTCCTTAACAAAGACAATCTCCATGCAAGACTTTCACTATTTATTATGATTTTGGATATTAATATGGAAAAACAATACTTTGGTTGTGATTAAAACATGGTTTGTAATCTGATAAAGCTAAAAATGGTGTATTTCTTATGTTTGAAAAATAAAACTTTAAAGGATTTCGTCATCATATTTATTTTGTTAGACATTTAATAGCAATAAAATGTATTTAAATTGATTGTAATTATCATTTAAAAAACACCATTTAAAATGAATGTCTCATGGTGAAACTATTAAAACTTATGACGAAAATGTTATGAATCAGACAGGGAGAATGATGTAGCTCTTTTCTAAAAATGAAGATCTAAAAAAAATCGGAATTAGGCTGGACAACATTTTAAATTTTAAATCTGGATTTAATTTAAACAATAATATGTTTCCCGTTACCCGACCTTCATTTTACCACCGACTTTTTTAAAAATGAAAATCACAAAGATAAAAATAAAACGCCAATTTGTCTCCGACCATATATACTTGTTTTGGGAATTTCAACTTCCGGCATGGAAAAATAACTTCCGGTAAATGTTCGATTACAAAAAATCTAGTTCGGTATTTTCTGTGCGTTATATTCCATTTACAGGAGGAAAATATTACTTAGAGTCATCAATAACAGAGATATAAAGAAAAGAATATCTTCCAATTAATTCTAAGATTTTATTACTTTGCATATTTTCTATGCTATTCTCATTTTGCTCATTGTTGAAGACCATACGGTGGCCTTTAGTTGCTTACATCCACGTCATTTTGGTCTCTGTTGGATAGTTATCTCATTGGCAATCATACCATTCAGCATAACTATGTCAATAATTAAAGTACCCAGACGTGCGTACTCATTACAGCGATCAAAAATCTAAGAGAAAAAATACTCGTATGACATGAACATTTCAGTATAACTTACGATATATTTTTGTCGTACGATTTTTTGTGACAAGAGCCTCAGGTTCGAAACTGGCACCAAAACATAATTTATTTTTGGCATTGAAGGAAAATATGGTTCAAACTTACTGTTGATTCACGTTTTGCTACGGCACTTGAAATGTAAAATTATGGCTTGTCATGTGACCATGATTCAGGGTCGTTGTACTGCTTCGTCATGCATTATGGAAAGTCTTGTGACCAAATTCATTTTTTTTTTCAGATCGAATTTTTAATAAGGACTTTGCGGTTTTCTATTAAAAAAATTTTAATCAGGGGCAGGTGAAGGGAGCATGTAACAACAACACCCCCTCCCCCCTGACTTTTGGGAAGGAAATAAAAGACAGTCACCGTTGCATTGCAAAATACGCAAAAATGTTTTCGTCTAGCAACGTTTCGCTACAAGCAACAAACCCAAAACCCCTGGGTATTCATGTTAACTAAATAAATGATGGTTTACTAGAATATTAATTGCGTTAGCATAAATTAAAGTTATAATATAAGAATTATCATTTATTTTTACGAATTTAAAGGGAAATCATTACTTTGCCCCCCTCCCCTAATTCGTTTAACCCACCATTTATTTTATAAGTATATAATTTTATTTCGTGATAAGTAAAACGTATCAATATGACCTTTAAAAATCTAAAATGTAGCAAAATGATTGAAATGGAAACTGATACAAATGAAAAAAATCATGCAGAAATACCTATAAGTGCAAATTTATGTATAACAATTCTTTCTTGATATATTGCAACTCGGTTCTTCCTCTTATACGGAAATCTTACAAAATACGAGTGAAAAAAATCTATAAATGGCTTCAAACAGCATCTTACAAAATACGATTGAAAAAACTCTATAAATGGCTACAAACAGCATTTTACGTTTTCAACAATGCGAATTCATAAATTATTATTTAAAGGTTTATTGTTTCCTCACTTTTCTTTTTTTTTTGTGAAAAATGTTTGTGCAAATAAGGAAAATAATTGCCCCAGATATTGTTCTTTATAATAGGTCATTTTGTTTACCCCTCAAGTACCCCTGTTAATTTAACCGAGGTCAATATCAAGAACCTTTGATTTATTGTTGCAAATTATCCTGGTAACCCCCTAAACTCAATAATTCAATCATATATTATCACATGAGTCAATATTATGACCAGAAACCGGGTTTTAACGGTCAAGGTCACGCATGTTATCACTATTAAAAAGCAGAAATCTACCCCGAAATTTTCAAAAGACCGAAAAGTCAGATCTAATCATGTATATCTCATATTTAACTGTGTCCGGATTCTCGTTCTTTCTTTGTTTTGATTATATGCTTGTAGGTAAGTAGGGTTTCTTTTCTTTAGAAAATAGCATTTTAAAGAATATTTTGCAATTTTATTTTTTCCAGGGTTGTCTATTCACACATCAAATATGGTAACGTTTATAGTGCCAATCAAACAAATTCCCTGGGCTGGGAAGTATACTTTCATACTCGGCTGATAACTGTCAGGTGGAGGAAACTGTGTACTAATTTGGTGTCAGTAGTTTTTTTTAATATATATATATATATATATTTAAAACACTATAACACATTGGCGATTCGATGAGTTAAAAAGGGGAGGGGGGGGGGGGGGGGGGGGGGGGGGGTAATTTTTCGTAATCATGGTTAAAACACAATTAAATTAGTGAATAAATGATTTTTTTTATCAAAAAGGGCTTCCTATACGCCCCACCTGAATCTGGCACTCCTCCAATTCTGATCTTAAAACTTCACAGAATTATTTTACACACATATTGAAGAGAACAAAAAAAAAACGTTAAGATATGACACCAGACAACCTCTGGCGATTTTTCGGACTTTGAACAGGCCGATTAATATGCAGTGGGGTTTACTTGGTTTTTTCTCTCATCCCTCCCCCTAACATAGAAAAAAAATCTTCATATTTTAGTCAATAAAAAAATAGACCATATATTTTGCAATCAAATCCTTTACAGATCTTGAAACTTTCCAAATTATTAAAAAAAAAAATATTGCACACGCCCATTTTAGTTGCACATTTGTCTTTAAAGACACTAGGTTTTAGCTTATTCATTTGAATATTGTATTTTGATATAGGACATGTTTTGCATATCAGTATTATCTTATTGTAACATATTTTACAAAAAAAATAATTTTGAAATGTTTTGCAAATTTTAGATTTTCTATTATTTTCAAACTTGAATTTTACTAATCCCCTGGAAAATTTCTCCTGATGTGGATTCATTATTATTCGTGTAATACCAATTTTCGTGGATTTCGGGGGCATAGGTAAAACGACGAATTTAAATGTTCAACTTTATAAGTTTTTTTGCAGATTTTGACAAAACCACAAAATCAAATATCAACGAAAATGCAATGTTTCCTCAATCCACAAAAATGGGTATCCATGAATATAAATGAATCCACAATATATCTCGTTTTTCGTATTCTTGTCAATTTGTAAGCAATTGTGTTTCAAACTCTAAAATCTTTATTGAAAATCAAATGATGAAATTTCAGCTGTATATTTTCACTGATTGTATTTAAAACTACTAGGATTCTTTTAATATTGATATTCTTTTTTTTGCAGATGGGTTTAAAATTCATGAACATGGAACACGTAAGTGTATATATTATTCCTCTCCTTTTTTCGTACAAGAAGATGCTTTCAAAAAAGCTTGTCTCACCTCAGCAGTTATAAGTCATAAATAAGTTTTAGAAGTGCTTTTAGGAAGTTTTGGTCCTCGGTGCTCTTCAGCTTTGTACTTGTTTTGGCTTTCAAACTTTTTTTATCTGAGCGTCACTGGTTGGTCTTGAGTGGCCGAGACGCACGTCTGGCGTATTGAATTTTACGCCTAGTACCTTCTGCTAGCTATTATTCGTGTGTTTCTTTGTCCTATATGTTCTCCCATTTATTTGTATTGTGGTCCTGTCATGTGATGTTGTCGTTTTGGTGTTGTGTTTGACGTTGCCATAAAAGCGGGAGTTTTGGCATGCCACAAAACCAGGTTCAACCCACCATTTTTTTCTTAAAATTTCCTGTACCAAGTCAGGAAAATGGCCATTGTTATATTATAGTTCGTTTCTGTGTGTGTTACATTTTAATGTTGTGTTTTTGTTGTGTCGTTGTTCTCTTATATTTGATGCGTTTCCCTCAGTTTTAGTTTGTAACCCGGATTTGTTTTTATCTCTATCGATTTATGAGTTTCGAACAGCGGTATACTACTGTTGCCTTTATTTAGAGTCTCGTATATCGTTCTAATGAACTTCTCATTAAGATGCTTATAATATTTACATATTTTAAGATAATAGAGATTCAAGACTTCATCACCCACCCAGCCATATTAGACCTGCAACGAAAAACAAAGACAATAATAAAAATGATAAATTAAAACGTGGTAATTATTATTATAGATAGATGACACAAAGAAGGGAAGGGATACATCTACTTTTTCGCAATCAGTTAATTCAAATTACCCTTTCCTCGGCGTGAAATCGAACAAAAATTCTAATGACAAAAGGAGTAAGCCCGGTAAGACCCCTTTTTGCCCCAAAATATAGCATTTTTACAAATGTGTTAAAATGTAAACTTTTAGCTATTTATTGGAAAGTAAAATACTTCTGTTCCATAAATGGGCTGTTTTGGACAATAAAATTGCACATGCATCAGGAAATAGCATCATAAATTCATGCAATATTACTGAAATCTTCAAAATTTTAGCATTTGTACTAATTTTAAGACGGTTTTTGTCTAAAATGGAAGTGGCCGCATTTGTGTTCAGTCTTAATATTTAAATATATGTTGTATTTGATGATAATACATAACATATATAAAGGTTGAGACTGAACACGAATGCGGCCACTTACATTTAAGACAAAAACCATCTGAAAAGTGACGTTTTATGGCATATTTGATATATTTTGCATATTTAAGCTTGAATTTGAGCGTCTTTAATGACCAAATCAGTCCAAATCGTTTACATAAACTAATTGAATCGACTGAAGTAGACACTTAAGTGTTTAAAAAATGTCAAAAATCTTTCATTAGATGTACTTCGAATATTAGGCCAAAACTAGCCCTTACCGGACCTTCTCCTTTGGTTTTACAATTAAATTTTGTATCCGCACTAATAAACGTTTCGGTAATCAAATGGATTATTTTTATGTAATATGAGCTGAGTCGGATAGAAATCGACCTTATGCAAATTAATATCAATACATCTGTTAACCTATTTCGGGTTGAACAAATCTCTACGGAAAGTATGTAACTGTTAGCAAATTGAGTTGTAATAAGAACCCTACAAAACAGAACAACATTCATCTTTTATTTCGTATTTGAATGTTTGAAAATCAACCACAGCCTTATACATGCACATGTGTACATGTACGTGTACTTGCATAAGGTCGATTTCTATTCGATGCAGCTCATATCATGATTTTTCCGGAATGGATCGGATTGGGGGTTTGAATTTGAGTAGGATTATGAAAACCATTATACAACTTTTCAGCTCGTAAAAAAGTGTTAATTGTTTGACTCTCGTTTTAACTGATGAAACCGATGGAAAAGCAATTCAAGCTGTTCGATAGTTTAGTCACATGTATACCATTTACAAACAACTGTAACTCGTGTCGAAAAACATATTGAAGTTACATTTCACGTACAGATCGATCTTCAATAAAGAAATGATTGCTTCTTTTTGTAATTTTATTAAGGTGTAAAAGCGTTGACCGATTCATATTTCATAGAAAAAATGTGCGCATGATCAACGCTTTTACAACCCTATAAAATTATAAAAAGATGTATTCATTTCTTATAATCATAATATGTTTATGCTACAAACAAAACATTACGAGTTATATCAAACTATCCGTTTGTTTTTCTATTCATTGGAAGCACGAACAGTCATGAATGTGGCATCTTTTATTGGGAAATGAAATTCAAATTTAGAATGCCTCGCGATTATTGTCAGCCAATCGAAAGTACGGATTCTTATGAAACATACATGTAATGTAATTATTCTTATAACGACTTCCAGTTTACGTATTATCATTTTTGTTTGTATGATTGATATGGATCGTAATACTGCATTTATACACTATAAACGAATTTTGCTTTAAATTGACCATATGATACTTAAGTGTTCTTTTGTTTTCTTTCAGATGAAGATCGAAGCTTGGAAAGCTTTATAAATTGTTTAAATGGTTGTCAATTAAACAACCAGGATTCAAGCTCGTTGTTCCATAGAGTGAGACGATCGGGCAAGTCATTGGAACTAGTTCCCGCGGGAATAGAAACTGATAGTTTAGTCTCGGAAAAAAAACGCAAGGAGACGGGAAGCAAAATTAACAATGAGGAAAACATTGAGGTCACAAATAAACCAAATCATAAAACAACCTTATCTGATATTTTACGTTCACGATCTGGTACCACACATTATATGTCTGTAACTGAAGGGTCGGATTCCAGTCTAGAAAGTTCAGACCAAAGTTCACAAGAGTTAAATGATGATGAAGATGTTGTTGGCCATGAAGACATCAGTTCCAGTTGGAACTGTCATCATTTATGTTTGCGTAATTCAAATATTTTTGGTAAGTTTTCCAATAAAAATCAAACAAAAAAAACAGTATAACTATACCTTTGAAAGTTAGTTATCCGATCAAAGACCAAACATACTCATTGTAATGTCGGAAATATTTATCGAGTTATTGTTTCACAAGTGTCCCACGTGTCATACAACTTGATAGAACACCTGTCGAAGTATGAAGGACGGTTGAAACTCGATGAATATTACTTTTAAAATGAATGGCAAAAAAATCAAACCCTGATGCTGATCTCTAATTCAGTGATAAATCAATGGTATTTTTACACACCGTGTGATGGCTTACGGTAACGCAGATGCAATATGTAATGGTAATCGAAAGGCAGACGAAAATCTACTGTATACGATAGCCAAGACAATTGATTTTAATGGTAATCGAGAACACCGATCCTAATGTATCTTCCATACTTATAGCCGGTATTATGGGCGTGTTTTATTTACCGTGTACTAACCCTAATAATTCAGTCCTCTCCGTATTTGATCTCTCTTACTTGCAAGTGATCGTAGGGCAGCGGAATATAACGACTGAATTATTCGTGTTAGCCGTGTACTGAAAATTGTGCGTTCGAAGAACTTTCTTTTATCAAAAAAGAATAAATAAGAAGGTAACGAATTGAGTGAGGGGCTCAGAAAAAAACGACATAAAGACAAACAAAACACAAAAATAATCGGGGTATGAAATTAAGAAAATTATAAATAGAAAGACATAGACATCAATCTTATTTGAAACTGCTAGCATGTGCTTCAATCGTGTAGAAGATTCCTTCCCCAGGAGTGGCACCCGCCGTGTTACTCGTAATAAAACCAGCTCAGCCGGTAACAAATATTTTAACAAGACTTAATAGTGGCAAAAAATTAGAAAGTGGTCATTCAAAGTCGTCAATTTTGCCAGATGAAGTTTAAGTAATGTCATTTTGATTTGTCGACAGTACGAAAGGCCAACGTAATTAAGAAAAATACTGAGCGTCAAACAATGCTATTGATAATTAGATTATTCTTTTGTCCAAGACTGAAAGAGTTGAAAATCAGTAATATCATGACAAAGTTTGCGTGAAATAGAACTTTAGTACATTAGCATTTCATTCACAGACAATTTCATAATATGAGCTGCATCGGATAGAAATCGACCTTATGCAAGTACACGTACATGTACACATGTGCATGTATAAGGCTGTGGTTGATTTTCAAACATTCAAATACGAAATAAAAGATGAATGTTGTTCTGTTTTGTAGGGTTCTTATCACAACTCAATTTGCTAACAGTTACATACTTTCCGTAGAGATTTATTCAACCCGAAATAGGTTAACAGATGTATTGATATTAATTTGCATAAGGTCGATTTCTATCCGACTCAGCTCATATCATAACGTAACTTTTAAGTCATTTGAAAGATTGAACGTCTGCGTTATGTGTGTTGTTTGGTTGCTGTCTGTATAAGCTTATATCCCACTTCTCACTGAAGATAAATTACACTTTACCATAAAATGTACCAAACTCAATGATTTTGAGGAATAATTTTTTTCAGAATATTTCAGATATTTTACCATCTTTCAATAATCTTTCGGACATTGAAAATTTCTATTTCACATTTCGAAGTAATGATTGTGATGTCAGTAAATGTTGCATAAAAGGTATTAATGAGATGTACAAGTACAGACGTTCACTAACTTATTCTATGTTATATATTATATAAATTGTATTACTAGTATCTAAAACTGTACCTCCTCAGTCAAATAGATAGAAAGGGGGGGGGGGGATCGAAAAATTACAAGATTTTATATATATCTCTTTATATATATATATATATTTTTTTGTTATGTATTGATATATTATTGGTTGTAATGATTAATATTTGTTCTTTGTTTGTTTGTTGATGACAATCCAGATTTTGGATTTTATATCAATAAAATCTTTTGACTTTGAATTTGACTTTTCATAAATTAAGGAATTAAACCATTTATTTATAATATATATCAATTTTCTTGTTTGTCTTTTTATAGGTTAAACACATCAATGGAAGTTTGATTTATGAACATAGACAAAAAGTGATCTGACGTATTATGTTTCTTCTGTGTATGAACTGACGATTTATGTTTCTACAGTGTGTATACTAATGATTTATGTTTTTTCTGTGTATATACTGACGATTGTGTTTCTTCTGTGTACATGTTGCTTCTGTGTATATGTTACTTCTGTGTATATACTGTTTTATATTGTTTTAAATATGTTTTATTTGTATTTATTTATTGTTTCTTTTTATCCATTGTTCTGAATAAAAGTAAACATGAATTATCAATGTATCAAGTAATAATCTGTTCTGTCGAATACGAAAACATCTGATTAAATTGCAAGTTTATAAATGATGATATCAAATTTTAGAGTCGCACCAATCTGATCTTTCACGATACTCCGTTAGGAAATGACCATTTGGTTTTACTGAGTTGATTGGGAGGGAGAGGAGTTTTTGCAAACATAATTAAGGATGTTCGCTCTTCTTGTTTTGAATTTTTGCCAGATATTCGGAATCCTCTGGTTTTATCCATTTAGTGCCATTAAACTTGAAATTTTCCCCGCTAACCCCTACTTTTCTTTTCATTACATATAGTTTAAAAAGTCATATTAGAAAATGCTATAAAATCCTTGTAATTTTTTCATAATTTTTTAAAGAAAAAGGGTTCCAATGTTAAATGTATGAAAAGTATAGAGATAATTATTTCCCGCCAAATTTTCAATGGCTTATATCTCGAAAACAAGCACACGGACCCTTCATTTTTTCTACCTTTTTAGTTCCTTTATTTATATACTATCAATTTATAACAATCTTTTTAAAAGCTTGTTATTTTGAAACAGAGTAGCGAACATCCTTAATACATAACAAAATATAAATTTTCATATATGTACAGTAATGAGAATTCATGATCCTGCAACCTGTCTTTACTGTCTCCTTATATTTCGTCATTGCACAAAGTCATGCGTTTCTCAGATTGCTTATGACGTCTTCATAGTAAATCCGTTGGATGTGTACTGATTGATACTTTAGTCTGGGAGAACATGACTTATTTATTAGTTGTAATTGGCCTTGAACTAGCTTTCAGTAACTGCGAGTAATCTTTTATCGGTGCTTTGTATCTATTGTTTTATGTTTGTTGTTTTTGTGTCTTGTACCAATCTTTTAAGTTAAGCCATTGCAACTGATGTTTACAGTGTGTTCCTAGTACATGTATGTTGTGCTGTTACACCTCTGTCCCATATTAGGGGCGGGTTTGACGCTCACAAATATGTTTAATCACGCCACATTCTTTATGTTCCCGTCCTAAGTCAGGAGCCTGTAGTTCAGTGGTTGTCGTTGGTTTATGTTAGTCATATTTGTTTTTCGTAATTTGTTTTGTTATAATTTATGTCGTTAGTTTTCTCGTTTGAATTGTTTCACATTTTTCATGTCGGTGCTTTTATAACCGGCTATACGGTATCAGTTTTTCTCGTTGCTGAAGGTCGTATGGCCTAAAATTGCTTATATCCACTTTATATTTACTCAGTGGATCGTTGTCCCATTGGCAATCATAAAGGTTTACGACCGAGAGCCCCGATTTAAGTCAGATTAGAGTCGAACACTTGACTGATTACACACTAACTGATTACACAAAACGTTTGCATTGAAGGTGGACCTTGTTTTTTTAAAATTTATTATCGAAGGTGTATGCAAACGGGCTTTAATAAACAATGTAAAAAGGTATTAACAAAAAGTACGGAATACCCTGCAAGGAAAATTATTCAAAAATTTTATAAATACTATATATGCCCCCCCCCCTCCCCTAAAAAGAAAGAAACCTACACAAACACAAACGGACTTATTTGTAAACAATGAATGTGTAAAAAGGTATAAAAGTACATTAGGTATTCCTAGAAGGAAAAATATTTCTATAAATTTTAGAAATACTAATCGGAACAATTCTTTCTGGAAAAAGAGTGTACCTCACTATAGGGTATCTTTGTTATTCTCACCCCCCCCCCCCCCCCCCCCCAAAAAAAATAATTTGAAAACGAAAACAAACACAAACACAAACACAAACAAAGCACAAACGGGCTTTTATTAGTAAAAATGAAAAATGTTATTTAGATACGGATACATTTCAGAAATACTGAAACAAGTCTTCCTAGCAAAAGAGTGTACCTCACTTAAGGATGCCTTTGTTATTCTCTGCGCCTCTCACTAAAAAGAATGAACACAAAACATATTTTAACAAAAAGAAAAAACACAGATAAATGATAATCAAGAGAAAAGCAAAGAAATAAAACAACCTATAAATAGATTAATAATTATTATAATCACTAGAAAATGAATATCTATATTTAGATAAATTATATTCATAGGAAAATTAAAAAAAAACAACGACTCCTTCGTTCAGGTACACATTAAAATAACCAGTGGACTTCTTTTTGAACTTTAAATAACAGTACTGTCAATAGATCAAATATTTTCAAAACCGGTATTTCAATTATGATAGAATCATTATGTACCGTTATACTTCGTCGAATAACTACTGATGCGTGACAACTGTGAGACAGGTAACTTTACAGGTAAAAGAGGAAATTACCTTTCGATCCGTCGTATAAACAGACTAGTAATTAAATATTACATATTTCATTGATATGTAAAAAGATTTGTTTATAAATTGTAACCCTCAGACATTCTCATAACGAGAAACAACTTGTTTCGGAAGTGGGAAATGATATTGACATTGTGATGTCCATTTCTACGTGGAAATGTATGAATACCGGCATGTGAAATGAAGTATGGAATAGAAATTTTGATCGTACGTGTCTGTGAATTGTAACCTACGCCCTAACTACAAATAAATATACCAATATTGGATAATTTTATAACCAGTAGCCATGGGTATGTATATTACATGTATTACTTTTCTTTACGATCAAATATGTAATAAACTTTTATAACCATTGTGCAGAAAACGGCATTGTTAAGGCAAGACACTTACTTGTCAAGGAGAAAATCTCAATATGGGACTTCTACTTTTGTAACTGTAGGGATCTGTTCACATTCAGAGACACATCATTGTTCTGTAAAAAGGGATACCCTGTATTATATGACCCTGAACTTTTCAGGTCATATATCCCTGAAGTATAATTCATTCCAACATTCGATCTCGCATCGTCCTAAACGTGCATGAAATATTTGCCACTGGACGTTAGGCAGCCAAAAATTAATCACCAACCAATCGAAATCACAAAAAGTTGAAGATTTCCTGTATGTTGAGTACCACAGACACAAAAAGATCCGAATAACCCATATTTCTATACCCCTAAACAAGTCTTAGTACATGGAACGGATACGACTGAGATTAGGGAATTGTTAGATGAAGACCCTTTGTGATGTGGATCCCACCTCAGTAAGCAAAGGCGAATAATGGGACATTTACAGACGCAGTTGTATCTTTGGAAAATTTATGTACTTCTTTTCTATGCAAATTCAAAATGTATATGGGGAAAAAGGGGGGGGGGGGTGGTTTGATCGGAGAAAAAAGATTATTTTTTGGCTAAAAATCGTCTAAAAAACACTCGCCCATATTTGTACCGACGCAGAGAACTACGCCCCTTCCCTCCAACCCTGTATGATCCCTTGCCAGGCTTATACAGTTATATATAAACAACAATGATGAAATGTCACGACAACCTAAATTACAAAGGTGTCATTCAATGTGTGAATAGAAGGGATACTTAAATGTCTGTCTTTGAAAGCATTGTGATGTAAGAAGATGTGGGTGAACGACAATGAAACCTTACGAAACAAAAGTCAAAGTAAATCTAGAGGTCACTGCTTAGGCTCAAACAGAAATAGTTCTATTTCCTCTCTCCCTATTTACTTAAATTTACATATCTACCCTAACAATGGACATTTTTGGTTAAGCACTGTTAAATGTCTAGAACCTTTCCATATGTAAAATATTTAGGGAGCTACCATTTGATTTTTATGGGGGGGGGGGGGGCTAGGATGAAAAATGTTGTCCTGCATTATTTATTAGTTTATCCTGACGTTTTTTTTACATAAATTGTCATTCTGCCTTTTTTTTTGCCAAGTTACTCATCCTGCCTTTTTTTTTTACTCAAAACACATGTCCTGCCTTTTTTTCAAATTTCATCCTAGCCCCCCCCCCCCTTTCAAAAAATTGAAAACAACACGTTTAATGATTTCATGCGTCCGAAGCGCTTTTCTGGATTTACCTTCATCAGGAACGCTCAAAGCCAAACATTTGAAATCCGAGGATGTATAAGTACCGAAACCGTTGAAGAGCTATATGACAAAAATACCTAAAATAAATAGCCAAATTCATCTAAAGTCAACTTTGCCTGAAAAAAATCAAATGGTAGCTCCTTTAAGGAATGAAATTGTTTTAGCTGTCTATCTACCCTATGTTTTTCTGCTCAGGGACATGAAATAAAGTATATATATTTTTGACTTTATGTGAGCCATGAAAATAAGGTGATTTGGAGTATACGGGTACGTCAATGAGACAAGGTAAACATTTTTAGTCACCAAGATCTGCCACCAATACCAATTCCCAAAATGACAAAAAACTTAAGATATGACTACAGCAACCATTTATAAGGGTACTGACTTACAGCGGTATACTACTATTGCCTTTATTTCGGACAAGGTGATGACCTTAACTCCAGTGGTTCTTGTCAGCTATACAGTGTGATTTTAATATATATAATAGTAGCTTTGATTGACGCATGGATTCAATTGTTGAGTATAGGATAGATGGATGGATAGTTGTTTTAAAGTGGAAAATCAAATGCATATTGAGGACGAGAACAGGTTAATTTGATATGAATGTGCAATATAATGCAAGACTGGCACGCTGAGTCGGAATTTTAGCATGCTAATTATCAAGGTAACAATCCACAAAAAAAATATAAGCATTGTGCTTGATAATGCTTGCCATTTTGTATTTTAAGAGACATTGACATTGATGGTGTTTAACTTTAAACAGGGTTATGTCCATACAACTCATACAGAGAAAGTGATACAACCCATTCATTACATAATTGTCACTGTTAAAGAAAGACAAAATGCGATCTCCATATTTTTTTTAAATACATGTAATTTACGAAGTTAAACTGTGATTGATTGCTGATATTAATCAAACATTATTATACTATCAATCAATTTTATGCTCAAATAAAATAAAAAATCAGTTACCACCCATTCTGAGAAAAACACATATATATAAGGAACAAAGAATAAATTAGCTAAAAGTATACACAATTGTTAATAACACTTCATTGGCCTGACAAATCATTTCATGGAAGTTCAGATAAAATTGAGAAATGACTAATTTGTCAAGTTCTTTCATAGTAAGAACAACGAATAATAAACTTGGTCATATTTCAAATCTAGATTGTTCGTATTGGTTTTGTCACTCCGACTCTATCCGAAAAAATGAGTGTCTACTAGTGTTATAGGCAAAAATTATACAGGGAAAATAGTAGTATTACATTTTCCAGGCTTTAGGTTGGCCTTTCGTGTACACAAGGCAGGTTAAGGAAGTCAACTTAGGAGCGGTGTGATTGGATGTAAGGGTACAATGTAATTTTTATTTATTTTTGAATAACTGCAGTGTGTATATTTGCTATATAGATTTTGAAACACATTGAAATATTTTGTTGAGAATTATTCGAAAAAGGCTTCCAAATTTTCATAAATTTGATGTAAAATGACGATGGGCATTGATACCATAATCAAGCTCCGTTGGAAGATGGTCATATACCATTTGACTTCAATTTCTAAAACAGAATAATAAAGTCTAAAATATCACACATAACTGTTTTGTCCAGGTTTCTATTATAAAAAGTGGTAAATTTAGAAAATGTTAGTATTGTCGCCTATGGAAGAATAAATACTACCGTTTTCCCTAAAAGTGCATGTATCCTGTTTTATAACAAACTTGACATGTGCCACACGAATATGTTTTAATTAGATCTTAGGTGATAAGTAACTTAGTATTCAAAGAGGACATACTTTACTGTTAACACAATGTAAAGCCATAAATGCAAAAAAATAAATAAATAATAGAATATAGATTAGTATAAACACAATTTAAGTGGGGTTCTATTCCAAAAGTCAGTTAAATTTTATTAGAATAGATTAGTTTAAACACAATTTAAGTGGGGTTGTATTCCAAAAGTCAGTTGAATTTTCTTGTGAGAGAGAGAGAGAGAGAGAGACAGAGAGAGAGAGAGAGAGAGAGAGAGAGATTATTTTGTGTATTGTAGTGTGTGGAGGGCATTGACCGTAAGAGGGCGCTGAATTATTCGAGTTAGTTTAATACAACTAGATTTGTACTTACATTAAAGGTGTATTTACATAAATTATAAATACAATGGCATGACACATTAATTGTTATGTAAATAAGCGGTAATTATATGACGTTACATGTACATGTAAGTTTTGACATTTTCATATTAATGGCGTACGACCATAGTTTGTAAAACAAGTTTTTTATTTGTAATTAGATTAGTCCACGTACTGTGTAGATTTAAAATACGATGGAGCAGTCATATTTGTGAGGGGGATTCATGAATGAATTTAAAAAAAAATATAGAGAAAAGGAAAAATGAAGAAAAAATGGCCACGATACACAATAAACACCATAAAAACCAAAAAAATGTAGAATTAAGATATGTTTTATTCTTAAAAGATAGAAATTAGATTGAAGACTGCACCAAAACTAAAGCATAAAAGTAAAGATTGAAAAAGTCTTATTTAAGAATAAAAGTAAATAACATTACAGGCCACCCGAAACACAAGTGAGAAAAGAAAGACAAAAAAAGAGAAAAATTCCAGTCTCAACCTGATCCTCGATTTCCTTTCTTACGTTCAACGTTAACTTAATTTTTTTGTTTGTTGCGAAGTTGTATATTTGTATAAAGTAAAATCACAAAAATACTGAACTCCGAGGAAAATTCAAAACGGAAAGTCCCTAATCAAATGGCAAAATCAAATGATAAAACACATCAAACGAATGGACAACAACTGTCATATTCCTGACTTGGTACAGGCATTTTCAAATGTAGAAAATGGTGGATTGAACCTGGTTTTATAGCGCTAAACCTCTCACTTGTATGACAGTCGCATCAAATTCTATTATATTTACAACGATGCGTAGGTAACATTGTCAAAATATGGATACAGCAGTCATCACTGTGTCACAATCTCAAAACAAACAAACATTTAACAAAGAAGCACAAAAAGCCTCTATCAAATTTAACAACCACATTCATTGCTTACTTATATATGTATTACAAATCAACCCATGTATGTGACAACGTACATACGTAGTCTAAAAGATGCGATAATAATAGAGAGAAGCTGCGAGAGGAAAGATAGAAAGCTGTCAAAAAAAGAAAAGGGATGAGAGAAGGGAGAAGGGTGAAAGATAGACAGTATCCTACATTATGTAGTTCCCGTCATTATTTTTACACAATTAATTCAATAAAATTAGTCTAGCCACTTGTGAAGTATTGAGAAAGTTATTTTTTTTTAAATTCATAATGAAGAAAAAAACTCATAAAAGACACCAGGCTTATTTTGTACACCAGACGCGCGTTTCGATTACAAAAGACTCATCAGTGACGCTCGAATCAAAAAAAGGTTAAAAGGTCAAATAAATCACGAAATTATGATACTTCTAAGTGTTATGTTCGTACGTGAAAAGAAATCTAAGTGTGGGTGTTTAAAGTAAATAATGTTTCATAGTTCAGTTGACGAATTATAAAGTAAGAAGACTGTAGTATTGATATTTCAAGTTTCTAAAAGTTTACAGAAGAGATATTATTTAGAAATTGATTACTGTAGAGTATAGAAATATAAACAAA